AAAAAAAAAAAAAATTGAGTTCAGGTGTGTATTTGATGTCATGACTTCTTTTCCTTTGGGTAGATAACCAGTAATGGGATTGCTGGATCTAGTGGTAGGTCTACTTTTAGTTCTTTGAGAAATCTTCATACTGTTTTTCACTGAGGTTCTACTAATCTGCAGTCTCACCAACAGTGTATATAAATGTTCTTATTTCACTGCATTCATGCCAATATTTTTTGGTTTGGGTTTTTTTTTTTTTTTGTGAGACAGAGTCTCACTATGTTACACCTCAGTAGGGTGCTGCAACGTCACAGCTCACAGAAACCTCAAACTCTTGGGCTCAAGAGATTCTCTTTCCTCAGCCTACCAAGTAGTTGGGACTACAGGCTCTTGCCACTATGCCCAGCTATTTTTTTGTTGCAGTTGTCATTGTTCTTTAGCTGGCCTGAGCTGGGTTCGAACCCACCAGCCTCAGTGTACGTGGTTGGCACTGTAACCACTGTGCTACAGGCACTGAGCCTGGTTTTGGTTTTTTAATAATGGCCATTCTGGGCTTGGTGCCTGTGGCTCAAGTGGCTAAGGCACCAGCCACATACACCTAAGGTGACGGGTTCAAATCCAGCCCGGGCCTGCCAAACAACAAGAATGGCTGCAACCAAAAAATAGCCGGGCATCATGGCGGGTGCCTGTGGTACCAGCTACATGGGAGGCTGAGGCAGGAGACTTGCTTGAGCCCAGAAGTTGGAGGTTGCTGTGAGCTGTGATGCCAGGGCACTCTACCCAGGGGGACAGCTTGAGGCTCTGTCTCAAAAAAAATTAAATAAATAAATAAATAAATAATGGCCAGTCTGACTAGAATAAGGTGATATCACAATGTAATTTTAATTTGCATTTCCCTGAAGAGTAGTGATGTTGAGCATTTTTTCCTATGTTTGTTGGCCATTTGTATATCTTCTTTTGAAAAATGTTTGTTCATGTTGTTTGGCCATTTTTCAGTGGGATTATTTGTTTTTATTTTCTTGCTAATTTGTTTGAGCTCCTATAGATTCTGAGTATCGGTCCTTTGTTGAAAGTATAATTTACAAATTCTTTTCTTTTCTTTCTTTTTTTTTTTTTA